AAATTCGTAAAAGGAAAATTAAATTATATTTTATTTTTATCAGAGTCAGTAGTCAACTTCATGAGTCTCTCATATTAGAATATGGTAACACATTAATGGGACATCATTCTTTGTGGCAATGTGGTGCAAGTTATTTGATACATTGTCCTATTCAAGGTTTAGCCAGGCTAGAGATACTGTTACAGTCATTGCCAATGGGATCAGAAGCAAGAGTAAGCAAGATTCTAGACATAGCAAGAGATAATAAGATGGACCACATAGGTTGGTATTATTGTCTCTTACATTATTCCTTAAAGTAAAATATTGGCAATTTAAAAATTGTTTTTTCTAGTCACCAGCATATGTAAGATTCAAGGAATAAAATGCATAAAACAAGGAAGATTAGGAAATGCACTTGCTTGGGCATTAAAAGCTCAAGATAGTGGGTTTACAACATATATTGCAGATGAATTTTTGAAATATTATGCAGAAAATGGGAAGCTGGAATGTCGAGATTTATTGGAAAATTTAGGTTTCTGTATGATGGCTAGTGACAGACTGACATTTTTGGGTAAATGAAATTAAAAATATTTTAAACATAATTAAATTCTCTATGATATACTAATTATACTTATATAGTTTCTTTTTTTTTTGTATATTTAATTAGGCAAATATTGTGAATTTCATCAAATGTATGGAATTGGAGAATTTAAAGAAGCAGCAAGTTTACTAGTGTCCCTCTTAGTTTCAAATTTAACGCCTAAATAGTAAGTAAAATATAAATATTCACATCCTAATTGTAAATTAAAACTACTGTTCTATAGAAAGCTTTTGTTTTAGCTTTTGGTCAATCCTTTTATCGGATGCGATTCCACTATTGGAAGCCAAAGACGTAATTCTATCTTCTAGTGATTGCTTTGAATTATTACGTTGCGTTGAAGCGCATGGAGACGATCCGAAATTTCAAGGTGAAATTGAAATCTTTCGATTAGCTGTTGCTAGAAACTTGGCTCGAGCGTTAAGTCTTGAAGGTTGTCAAGTGGAGCATTAGAAAGTTTGTTAACAATTTATTATGTAAAATTTTTCTAATTTTTTAATTAAAAAAGGTCTCCATGCACAATCATTAATGTATTTTATTGAATCATAGCAAATCTCCTTCATTTTATAAATATTAGATTTGATAAGACTCTAAATGATAAAATTTGTAAATAAATAAGTATTTTTGTATATGTGATTTTTAGGCACAATTCAAATTAGTTTATAGAAATGTCAAAGAATTTGGCATGAATATTAAATGCGATTTTTATTTGTTATTATTACATACACTTTGTTACTATTACTATATCTCCTTTCGGATATGAGAACCTTGAATAAGCTTTAAAAAAAACAATGAATAGTTACACGTAAAAATTCGTTGGTTTTCATGCATTTGATATTCGGACCAAGGTCTATTCTCATTCACAATAAATATACGCAACATTAAATTAAAATTGAATAAACACCAATGTAATATAAATTATCTTAGTTTTTTTTAAATAAATACAGTTTTAAATAATGTTTAATTTTCAATAACAAATTTTCACTTTTTTTCAACAAACTTTTTATGCATTTTTGGGTACCAAGTAAAAGAAAAAAAGAAAATTCGTCATTGTACGATAAATATTATATAAAATATGCGCGAATACAATTTATAATGATTTTATAATTTACAACAAGCAACAAAATATTACATTATGATTTATAAATATTACGCAAAAGAATTTAATAAAAACAATTTTATAATTGATCATAATTAAAACTAAATAAAAATTTCAATAGTATTAACAGTAAAAGCACCATAATAGACGTTTACTGCGTGTAACGTAATCAATTGATAAAAAACGTTAGTAATCATATTACGTAATATCAGAGGTAATACTATTTATTTAAATCGATCCGCTGTTATTGATGCATAAAATTGTGGCTAAAGGTGCGTATATACAGTCGATAAAGAGAACTAACAAAATGGCGATCACTAAGTGTTATGTTTAGTATCGCGCTGGATTTTCTTTCTTAAAGACTATCGCGTCAGTCAAGTCACTACTTCAACTGTCCGTGTGAAAGAAACAACTAAAAAATATAGGGAAAAGATTGCGCGTGTACAGTGAATAGTAAAAAATTGAAAAATATTGATCGAACATAATTTTTGTGACACATTTTTAAACCGTACTCCGATTGATGTACGTTTTGACACATACGCGAGTTTTGTATTTATGCGCTAAATTTTAAATCGTCTACAAGATTATCATTTAATATAATGATGAAAGGAAAGTGGCGATAATATTAAAATAACAAAATGTTGAATAAAGTTAGAAATTATAATTGAAACATAATATTTTTAATGTGAAAGCGCGTAAATACTTAATCGAAATTTTACAAATGTATATAAACAATTCTAAATATCTAACTTCCACTTTAGATACAGTGGATATAAAATTTATAAAGGATGGTAAATTTTTTTATATATTAGATTGTAATGAATATAAAACATTTAATTTTGATCAAATTGAAAATAAAAAATCATATGCAAAATATCATAAAAGAAGAATGCATCAACAGTGTGAATGTTTAATTGAATATCAAAGGAATTTGTAGATACAGTTGGTAAGCAGAAAACAATATTTTTATAAATAGAAAATATAGAAGAATGATATAAAAGACATTATAAGTTTTTATAGTTTACATCATGGAAGATTATACCCCTATTGATGAAGATTTTCCTGGTCGTTTGTTACATCAAGCTGCTTTATGGGATAATGCAGAATTGTTAGAGGATCTATTACGAGGAGAGCATGCACAATACATAAATAGTCAAGATTCATGGGGTAGGACACCATTACATGCTGCAGCTATTACTGAAAATTCAAGGTGTTTGGATGTATTATTATCTGCTGGAGCTAATCCTAATACACCATGTGGACCACGAGGTCATTATAGGACACCATTACATATTTGTGCAGAACATGGTCATAGTTCAAACATTGAAAAACTTTTGAAATTCAATGCTAACCTAATGATTCAAGACAACAATGGTCAGAGACCAGCAGATATAGCTGAAAAATCTAAACAAGATGTCTGTATAAATTTATTTAAATTAGCAGCTGAAAAATATGAATTAACAAAACTTGCAGTACATGCTTCTTTACGTGCAACCTGCATTCAAGGAGATAGTATGGCAGCTAAAAATATTATACAAGGACATACAACTGATTTGGAGTGCATTATTAATATGGCACCAAATGGTGCAAATACTCTGCTTTTTATAGCATGTGAAATGGGACACAAAGAGATAGTTCGTCTGCTTCTGGATCATGGTGCAGATTGCAGAATGCATCCTGTTACCAAATACTGTCCATTGTATATAGCCTGTTATAACGGTAAAGTAGAAATCGTAGAACTGCTACTCCGAAATTTTCCTAAACAAGTACAATCTTTAACAGTGGAAAAATGGTTACCAATTCATGCAGCTGCTATAAATGGTCATCATTTAGTTATTGATTTACTATTGAAATTCGAATATCCGCAGCACACGTATCAACGTTACAAAGATTCATCCGGAGAGTTCGAGTACGAGATGCCATTTGATATAAATACTCAAGATGTTACAGGACAAAATGTTCTTTATATATCTAGCATGCTCGGGAATATTAAGATCGTAGAATTGTTGTTAAACTATAAAGTAAAAGCGAGAAAAATCAAAGAGGAAGACATAGGAGTGGCGCAACCGATTCCTATGTCGAAAAGAAAAATTTCAAGCGGAATACAAAGATTAATGTCTAGTTTAAACTTTAGAAGCAAAGCGTTCGATAAAAAGGATGACAATATGATATGTCCATTAAATTTAGATTTGTATTGCAGCAATGCTACCGAAACTTCTTTACACACCGCGGTAAAAGGCAAACACACAGAAGTAGTTACCGCTTTATTATTGGCAGGTGCCGATCCTAATTTGCCTGTAAAAGTTCCTTACGATCAGAGCGATCCAGAAAGTAATTATTCTAGTGCATTAATTATAGCCTGTCAACAGCGTGACATCAAGATTGCCGATCTTTTATTGAAGCACGGTGCTGTGGATAATACATGCAAAGCAATCAAAATTGCCGCACAAAATCGGGACGAGCCTCTGACGGCAAAACTTTTATCTATAAAAGCTTATCCAGATTCAGAATACAAAATCAATAAAAAAGCTATGACAGAATGTACTCAAACTTCTCACTTTTCTGCGTTATCCTCGTTTGGAAATGTTACATACTCGACGCTATTTCCGAATACACCTACGATGATAAACTGGCACGATCAACAGTGTCATCTCTCGCAAATACGAGCTCAATGGTTGACCGATGCCGTATTACACGTAAACAAAAAGCTAAGTGCTAAAAATAACGATTTGGTACTGTACGCTATCACGAGGATAGATATTTCTCATAATTCCATCACATCTGTACCATCCACTATATTTTATTTACAGAGTTTACGATACCTTAATATAGCGCAAAATAAAATAGATACTCTTACAGCTGAACAAAAAAACCCTAAAGACAAATTATGTCCAGTTCTGGAAGAGATGTACCTCCAGGATAATCGATTGGAACAATTGCCGGAGTTCATAATGAATCTACCCGGACTGGAGATCATGGACGTTTCGAACAATAAACTGCAATGTCTTCCGGACAATTTATGGCGGGCGCCAAAATTAAAGGAATTGAACGCGTCTTTTAATTTGTTGAAAGATTTACCAAGTCAAGTATCACAAAATATAACACGAAAATTGCAACGGGAGGACTGTCTGAACAATAGTCCAAGTAGTCGAAGTTTAGCGTCGCAATTGGCTATATCACGGGAGGACTCGTTGGAATTTGAGTCATTCACTAAAATAGCGAACGCACAAATCATCGAAATGGATCGTCCTCATGTATGGACTAAGTCCGTTCAAGTGTCGGAAAAAATTTCAGACGACAATGAAGGTGGAGCAAGATCGGTGCTGGCATCGTTAAACTTGGCACATAACTTATTCAATAGTATTCCAGTGGCGTTGCCGTGTTTAGCTGTTAATCTGGTACGATTGAACATGGCTTACAATTCTCTTAGATCCATGAGCCATATAACTTCGTATCCAGCAAGCTTAAAGCAGTTAGATTTATCAAACAATCAAATCTCTCGTTGGCCCAGTTTACCACAAGTGGATGGCGCCGACTTGATGGAACAAGCAAACACCGCATGTTATTGCCCCGCAACTAACATACAATCTCCAATTGTTCCAGGCAGTAACAGGCAAACGGCAACGTCGTTGCGTGATGTAGTTCTCATGTCGGTTTGCACGCACAGACGTCATTTGCGTTTAGAAAATTTAAGAACGTTGATCCTCGCTAACAATCTATTGAACAGAATTCAATTAACATCGGTAGACGACGGTGAAATGCCGAATTTAGAAGAGGAAAACATAGACAAGGACACGAAGATCGGTTATTCTGGCTCTAAATTGTACCTTTTGTTTCCTAATGTCAGTATGCTCGATGTTAGCAATAATAGATTAAAAGAGATTCCACAGAACATTTATGAACTGAGTAATCTGTCTGTTTTAAATATAAGTGGCAACTCGGATATCGTTGAGTTGCCACCACAAATGGGATTACTTTCTCGTTTGTGGAATTTAAATACTCAAGGTTGTAGACTACAAGAGCCTTTGAAAACAATGATCGAATCGAAAAAATATAAAACAATGGATGTGATCGGTTACTTAAAGTCAATTTTAGAGGATGCTAAACCGTACGCTCGAATGAAGTTAATGATCGTGGGAATTCAAGGTATTGGTAAAACTAGCTTATTAGAACAACTGAGGCAAGAGGGTGAAGTTCCAAGTAAGAAGAAATCATCGGAACATTGGGCGAAAAGAATGGGTAATAAGAATATTAACGCAAAGACTGCTAGGGGAACAACGATATCTACCGTTGGCGTTGATATCGGAGATTGGATCTACGAAAAGAAAGTGAGAGGCCAGTCATCCCACGGCCCAGTTTATTTTAGAACGTGGGATTTCGGTGGACAAAGGGAATACTACGCAACGCATCAATACTTCTTGTCTAAGCGTAGCTTATACTTGGTTGTTTGGAGAATTACGGATGGTTTTAAAGGTGTATCTGAAATATTTCAATGGTTGGTAAATATTCAAAGCAGAGCACCTAATTCACCGGTGATCATTGTTGGCACTCATTACGATATATCTTATGAACATAGCGAAGCTTTACAGCAATACATTCGCGATAAGTTTATAAACGTGGTAGATGCTGAAAAGTGTGGTTTACCAAAAGTCATGGAGACCATCGAAGTGAGCTGTAAAACAAGGCATAATATAAAAATGTTATGCAATCTGGTATACGACGTTGTCTTTAGTTTGAGATCAGCCGGAAGCAAAGAATTGTTACTTGAACAAAAGGTTCCTGCCAGTTATCTTGCCTTGGAGGATGTGGTGATACAGCTTGCGCACGATAGAAAATTGTCGGGTGCGGATCCGGTTTTGAAAGCCGATCAGTACTATGGAGCAGTGAATAACGAACTTCAGAAATTGCACAGATCCTTCAGAGATCCCGCGGAACTACATCAAGCTACACTTTTTCTCCATGAAAATGGCATTATTTTACATTATGACGACGCTACTTTGAAAGATCTATACTTTCTTGATCCCCAATGGCTTTGCGACATGTTAGCGCATGTAGTAACAATACGTGAAATCAATCCTTTCGCCAGATCTGGTATAATGAAATTGGATGATATTCAACATGTTTTTAAATCTTCAACGATGTCGTCTATAGATACGCAAGGATATATCGTTAGCTTGTTAAATAAGTTCGAAGTTGCGTTAACTTGGGATTATCGTACATTATTGATTCCTTCTTTGTTACCAACCGAAGAAGATATTTTAAGAAATAATCAAATAATCAAAATTCCAGTGAAAACACGAGGTTGGCATGTACGTTCTAAGAAAATTACGTCTCCGATGATAACGTTTCAAAATTCCTCCGGAGAGGGTAAATCAAGCACAGAATGTGTGCTAACATCTAGGTCACAACCGGATTGTTCTGTTACGAGACTGCTTTTAATGTCTTATTTTCCCAGCGGTTTTTGGTCGAGGCTCATAACTAGAATTTTAGCTGACGATGCTATTGCTGAGATTGTGATGTCATTTTTAGCGCCTTTTAAAGATTTCGTTGACGATAACATTTTTACAAGCTTGTTAGATACACAAGCGGAATGGGTACTTTGGCAAACAGGAATAGAACTAAGATATGCTAATATTACTTTGTTGCGTCTCAAAGAAGTCAATTACAATTTAAAAAATTCACCATACGACTACAGGCAGTTTAAGTTTAAATTAAAACAAGATGGAATATGGTGTACAGTAGATTTAAAAAATTCAGCAATTTTAGAAATTTGGTTTCCAGTTGATACTTTGGTGATTAAACAACCCATAATGTCAGATTCAGTTGAAGAAGAACCGATGGGTTATCAAGCAATTGTAGTTGAACCTCGTCCAGAAAGTATACCGCAATTACTGGCGTTAATTGTCGATCATATTGATATTTTATTAGAAGATTGGTATCCTACGTTAGGAACACGTTTTGTGCATACATCCGAGGGTAAATTATTAGTTACACGACTTATACCGTGCCCTCGATGTTTATTAAATAATGGAGAGAATGAAAACGAAATTAGTGATAATGATCGCTTAGCGGAAGATATTCAAAGATATTATATAAATAGAGAAAGACAAAGCCAGGATAGTTATAAGTCTGATGGTGATAGCGGCGTTGGGTATGATAGTTTAACATCAAGCAGAATGCCATCTTTAGAAGGACATCCAGATGTTATTAAACAAAATATCCATTCTGAAGGTATTTTAGCATATTCCTGGATGGTCGAGGAATGTATACTGTCTGCCTATAGTAATAAACCAATTAGTTGTCCTAAACACTCTGACATACCATTATCACATGTAGCATCGGATATAATTTTTATGGATAGGTCGAGGAGCATTTGGGTTTGTATTTAAAGGTGTCTGTCGTTTACCAGGAACATATCAAAAGGTTGATGTTGCTATCAAAATGTTACAACCAGTTCCACCGGGTCCGAATTCGAAACAATCTGCTGTTCTTGCTTATAAAGCTGCACAAAGTAAATGGGATCGAGATCCTTTACAGTATGCTTGTAAAGCATACTGTACTGCAAGGCAAGAACTAAATATTTTGTTAACACTCAGACATACAAATATTGTACCTTTAATCGGAATAGTAGTAAGTCCATTAGCACTAGTATTAGATTTAGCACCAGAAGGTGCATTGGATAATGTATTAAAAAATTACAGACGTTCAGGTGCTAAATTAGATCCATACACATTACAAGCTATAATTCTTCAGGTAGCAAAAGCTGTAGAATATCTTCATCAGCAACATGTAATTTATAGAGATTTAAAATCAGAAAATGTTTTAGTCTGGCAGATGCCTTTACCATTTCAAGATCATCCTGAATATCCTGTCCATGTTAAAGTAGCTGATTATGGCATATCCAGATTAACATTACCAACTGGTGCTAAAGGATTTGGAGGAACAGAAGGATTTATGGCACCTGAAATTATTAAATATAATGGTGAAGAAGAATATACTGAAAAAGTTGATTCCTTTTCATTTGGAATGTTCATATATGAATTGATTACCTTAAGACAACCATTTGAGGGCCATGAAGCAGTTAAAGAATGCATTTTGGAAGGTGGGAGACCACCATTAACATATAGAGAAACATTTCATCCTTGTTATGCTCTTGATTTAATGGTCATATGTTGGGCTCAAAATCCAAAAGATCGACCTACTGCAAGTCAAATAGTTTCCATTGCTTCTGCACCTGAATTTACACATCTTATAGATGTTATATTATTAACAGAGAGAACTCAAGTAACTGCTACTACTATGACAAATAGGACTATAGAAGAAAACATAAGTGGCGATGAAATTTGGTTCGGACATAATAACGGTGAAGTTGATATGTTATTAGGAACACAAAAAGGTTGGTTACAACATGTTAGAATTGAAACTCCAATAATACCATATGCAATGTGTGGAGTAGATGGATACATATGGATTGGTGATGATACAGGGCAAGTACATGTTTACTTAGGCAGTAATTTTGGTTGTGTTGCTAGTTATAAACTTGAACTTGACCACAGTATAGAATCTAAAATAGTGGGTTTAATTTATTTAGAACAAATGAAACAATTTGCAGTAGCATTGCATAGTGGAAAAACATTTTTATTATCAAATTCTTTCACACAAATGAAAAAGATGGAAATTGTGACTGATATTCAAGACAATATAAAGACATTTTCTTTGGCAGCTGTTTATAAGAAAAAGCGTATACTAGAATTATGGGTTGGACAAAGTTTTGGTAGAGTATCAATTTATGTTTTAAAAGACAACAGTTTAATAGATACAGTACAAGTTTCTCATGTAACCGGAGATGCAGCTATTAAAAATGTATTTGCTACACATTTATTGAGTGCTGAAAATTTCGTTTTATCATATACTTACCCTGGATGTATTGTGTATCAATGGGATGTGGATACTAGGCAAATAATAAATAAATTAGACATGTCTAAATTAGTACCTTGCTCAGAGAGTCTGAAATCCATTTCTATAGAGGAAAACTTATCAACAGAAAAGTGCCAAGTGACAGCTCTTGAAACTTGTAGAAATCAGTTATACATTGGTACTACTTGGGGATGTATTGTAGTAGCTGAATGTAATTCTCTTAGACCAATTACTGTTTTCAGGCCTTTTGAAGGCAAAGTGTGTCAAATAATATCATTTAAATCAACAGATGAAAAAAAATTGGTACTGGCAACAGTTGGTCAGGGTTATAGAAGTTTAATTTCACGATACACAGATTTTCCAATTGATAGTTTAGATGCAGAAGATCTTAAGCATAGTATGTATGCTCTTTTATGGAGATCCGAACATTGGTCAGCTGCTTAATTATAATATTTTATAATAATATAATGCCAAGAGTGCTTTGTGGTGCAAATCTAAAAGTGATAATAACTGGTTGAGAGTTCTATACGTCCATGATATATTTTAGTCTGTAGACTTTAAGCTTTCCATCTTGCCTCATCTAATATCTTTTGAGCTGAAGGTAAAAATATTTATCCTTTAATCTGTCCAAGCTATACGGTGCTTGATTTAAATATTCTCTGCAAAATTTTAATTTGCAGAATGAGCATAATTTAAGCAGGATATTTTATTCTTCCTGTGATGTAACACAGTATAGTTTTGTAACTTATTATAAGTACTTAGGTTTGCAAAATAATGATAAATTCGTTTGATAAAAAAAATTTAGAAAAAGAGATTATTAACCTCGCAACATATTTCAAAAATTTATTTATTGATCTCTGAAATATCACTAAACATCTACATATATGTCTACTACAATTTAGTATGTGTGCTTTTACTTGATGCAAAGTTGCAGGTACAACTAATGTAGTACCAATGTAACATACCTGTACAATTTCTGCTTAAAAATCTTTTTCAATGTAATCTAAAGTTAATAAGTGATAATGGTAATTTCAAGATGGTTTTACTATAGAAAGAATTATTAAATTAATGTGAAGTCAAATTTTCTTATGATTATAAAAATGTGAAAGTGAATTTTTTAATAATAATTACAGTTATTAATATGTAAAGGAATGTGTGGAAATTGTGAATGAAGGGTGAGTGTTAAAATACATAATTAAGAGGTATGATCTACTGTTGGTAGTTCTTCCACAGTTTCAATGTTATGCTTAAGAATTAGGTCCTGACCTCGGTACAAAAAGTATCCCTTAAATAATTCCCCTTGTAACATGTAAGGGAACCAATATTCATCATCCGGCCACATCTGTTTGAAAGGAATATCTTTCAAATTATACCATTTGGGTCGCATTTCTGAACAGAAAAAGTACATTTACAATGATAGCATATTTATTATATTTTTAAGTAGATAAGCATTAGGTATGGCAAAAATCATGTAATGAACACATTTTCAAACTTTTTCATTTTGTTCAAACATATTTTTAGATTCTTTTTGGGTTTTTAATTGATTTTTACAATTTACATAATTCAAGCCATAATATGCAATCTCATGCTTGTAATTAGATGAAGATTATTGCAACATGATTAAAATAAACAATCATAGAATCATTGCATCATAAATGAAATTGCACATATAATATATATGATTAATAATAAGAATAAATGTTTGATAATGATGTAATATTAATTTTAGTTGAAACTGCAAAATATTTGAAAATTAAATACCTTCAGATTCTATTACTTTTCCACAGTATTTGTATGTTTCAAAAACATGAACTTCTAACAGATCCTTATTATCTTCAAATTCAAAATATAAGATTCCAACTTTTTTTAATTCTTGTGCAGATAAACCACATTCTTCTTTTAATTCACTGAAAAATTTCAAAGATGTAATTTGAGAAATTTGCTTTACTTTTTGATTATCTTATATGTGATAGCAATATTATAGCAGCATATGCAATATTTATATTACACTGTGTATATTGTATTATTAGTTTATATATTTTTTTTATTATATTTACTAATTACTGTCACAATTTTAATTTATGCATAATACTTTGTATTTATTTAATTATTTAAAACTGTACCTGTATATACAAGATGATTCATGGAA